ATGAACTGAAGGTGGTCAGGACATCACACCACACCAGAAGGTGAAAGGTGCCTAGGGCCCCCTGGGCCTGCACCCACTCCAGTCAGGGAGCAGCCTCTGCTCACAGACTTCACCCAGGAGGGAGTGGTCTGGACGGCTCCCGCCCTGCGGCTGTATGCCACGGCCCTGTGCAGGTAAGTTCCCCTCTGCTCACAGACTTCACCCAGGAGGCTGTATGCCGAGGCCCTGTCCGAGTAGGCTCCTCTTACGGTGGCAGCAGGCACGGGGACCACCTCACTGCCAAGGGAGCAGGGAAGGAAGGTCTGCCACTTATTTCTGATGAGTAAAGTCAGGTGGCACTGAGTATCAAAGAGAGGCTGTGGCAGCCCATGAGCTTAGGGAAGAAACGGCACTGGCCATTCCAAATCACCCCACTCACAGGACTGCAGGGCCTGAAGAGAAATGGCCAGCCCACGCTGACAGCACAAGCAGCTGCATGTCTGAAGAGGGGGTGCAGGCCCAGGCCTAACTATGCTGCCTTTCCCTGAGCAAATGCACGCTGACCCCAGAAGTGACTCCAGAGTGCATGGGGCAGGCCAGGCACAGTACTGCCTGCCTATGATCCCAGCCACTCGGGAGGCTGAGGCAGGTCTCCTCCTGCAAGACTGAGGCAGCCTGGACAACCTGTTGAGTCCCTACTCAAAACAAGGGAGCTGAGGGTGTGTCTCAGTGGCAATACTCCCTGGATTTGTTTGCCAGTAACCCCCCAAAAACAAAGAGTGCAGAGGAGAAACATGCTAGAAAACAAATAAGCAGCTCCCCCAGGAAGCTCAGCTGGTTCATATTTACATTTTGAAAAGGACTAGCTAGAGGACACTGGACACTCTGAGACCATTCTGATAAAGATAAATCAACATATCCAGCAACCAAAACAACTTTCAGATCACAGGTGACGACGGTCACAAATGGCTCCTTCTAGAAGCCCTTTTAGCTGGGATGCAACGAGGTGCTTCTGAAGTCCTGGGTCGGAATGCCCACCACCAGTCCCAGCACCCCAACACAGAATGCACAAGCCCAAGTGCATTCTCCTGGGTGCTGAGGACGCAGCCTGGAGCCAGCCTCCTTCTGTGCCCAGAGCTGTCCTGGGTGCTGAGGACCCAGCCTGGAGCCAGCCTCCCTCTGTGCCCAGAGCTGTCCTGGGTGCTGAGGACCCAGCCTGGAGCCAGCCTCCCTCTGTGCCCAGAGCTGTCCTGGGTGCTGAGGACTCAGCCTGGAGTGCCCCTCTCTCTGTGCCTGGTGCTGTCCTTGGTGCTGAGGATGAGGCCTGGGACAGGGCTCCTCTATATCTGGTGCTGTCCTTGTTGTTGACAACAAGGTCTGGAGCCCACCTCCCTCTGTGCCCAGTGCGGTCCTTGATGCTGAGGACTGGGGCCCATCTTCCTTTGTGCCTGGCACTGTCCTTGGTACTGAGGATGCAGTCTTGAGTCCAGGTCTCCTCCTGGCACTGTCCTCTGTGCCCGAACCCACCTACTCTGTGCCTGGAGCTGCACTTGGTGCTGGCCTTCCATATCTACTGGGGCGTGCCACCCAATGTGCTGAGTGCTGTCCTCAGGCTGAGGACACAGCCTAGAGCCCTGCTCCCTGTGTCTTGAGCTCTCTGGCCTGGCATTGCCCTGGGTGCCTGAACCAGCCTCCTCTGCACCTGGTGCTGTCCTTGGTGCTCCTAAGGTGGCTTAGAGCCCGTCTTCCCTGAAGATGAGCCCTGAGCCTGACTGAGTTGGTGTTGCAGAGGAAGCTGGGACTCCACAGAGAACATCACCCCCGAGTGTGAACAGAAGCGGGAACACCAAGCAGAGATGGCAGCCATGAGGATGAAGSCCCCTGTGACATCGGGCATTCATGGTGGATGGGTGGGCCCTTGATTCTTTAGAGGACACTCAAGTTGGGCACTAGAGGTCTTTTCACAGTGGGAGCTGCTGGCAATCACTCTGTCAACCCTGTTTGTTGGGGGGCTGAAAACAGCATGAGGGGTGTCCTAGGTCAGGACTGAATACTGCTCCCCAGCAAATGGATGCTGAAATGGCTGAGGACAGATGCCCCCAACACTTCCCCTTGGGGGAGACAGGGAGAGCACACCCCAAGCCAGCAGGGCATATGACCTGAGGCGGGGAGACCTGGTGGATGGAGCATGGGAACTAGGTAGCTTTCCTGCATGCTCTCCGACAGCCAGCAGCATTGTTCAGGAAAGTCTAAGGGCCTCTCCTAGTGATGCTCAGTGTCAACTGATAAGCCAAAAGGAAAGCATGCCCCTGATCACTGTGTCCAGCCCCCAATGGATCCATCAAACTTGTGACTTAAATTTTCAAAACTAAAATTTCTTGTCCAATAAACCCTGGAAATCACTGAAGATTCTTCAAAGAATAACCCTGACTACACCCAGTGTTGGTGAGGACACAGGCTGGTCCTTGTGCACTGTGGGGGGACATCAAATATCCCTGGTGACACTCAGTGCTGGTGAGGACAGTCCTTGTGCATTGCAGGGAACATTGAATATCCCTGACCACACCCAGTGCTGGCGAGGACAGAGGCTGGTCCACATGCACAACAGCGAGACATAAAATGTGCAGTCACTCTGGGAAAGAAGTACCCTTTCTTAAGAACCCAGGGCACTACGGCAGAGCCAGTTGGCAAGGGCAGTGCATGCTGGCACTGACTGCGGCTTTACACGTGGCGGACCCAAGCTGGCAAAGCCTCAGCATCCTCCAGCAGGTTCGGGTTAGATAGACGGTGGTGCATGGTACCAGGTAATACTCTTCAGCAACCAAAGGGAACTGGCTATTAGTCAGCACACACAACAATCCAGGGAATTAAAAAGTCAGTATCAAGGTTACACAGTGCATAACTTCACTTATATAATCTTCTAGAAATGACCAAATTAGGGATGAAGCACAGAATAGTGCTTACAGATATTAAAGAAGGAAGGACCCGTGGGCGAGCTGCTCTAGACTGTTCTGGAGGCTCCCACGCAAGCACGAGGACCCACACAGGGCTGGCAAAAGGTGCAGAGCCGACGTGCAGGTGGTGGCCTCTCACTGCTGCCACAGGTACCAGGGAGACCGGTGGAGGGCGTACAGGGTTTGTGCTCTCCCTACAACTGCTGCTGAATGTGCAATGACCTCAATGTGAAACACTCAAAACAGACACACGGGGAAAAATATGCACTGATGTTCTAGATGACAGAGAAGAGCTCAAGAAATGCTTTGAACAGCAGCGGCAAAGTCAGAACAGATAGCACTCCGGTGACTCTGAGAACAGCCGACTGTGTTTAAACACCACAACCACTTCACAACAAGCCTCCCTTTCATGGGCGGTGTGCATGGTGCAGTTTAGTGTCCCAAGCTAGTATTCAGCATTCAGTTCCTGACAAGGCGTGTGTGCGCACGCATACACACACACACAGCCTGCTCTCTGGATGGCATCTGACAGGTGCGTGCACAAGGTAGGCAGCCAGGAAAGCAGCCTGATGGCTCCACAGCCCCTCCTGAGCTCACCATCTCTGCTCTCATGGTCCTCCCTGAGCAACTTCTGGCCCACCTGGGGCTTGTCTGCTCCCACACCACTGTGCCTCCAGGGACGAGGGACACACACAATGTGCATGCTTATAGACACCTACACAAATGTCTGCTTGCTGGGCAATGTGGCCACTGAATGTGGGATTCTGGATGGAGCTGTGAGACGTGCACAGGGAATCTAAAGGTGGGCAGCCAAGTGACAGCACGAAAGCAACTGCTCCTGGGGCCTCAGGACTCACCAGCCACCAACTCCGCCAGGTCGGGCATGAGGTGAATACTCAAGGCAGCTCTCTAACAAGGAAGAACCACGGAGCAGGCAGAAGCAAAACCACGGTAAAATCAAATCCTCCTCAGTGATGTGGGGCCTCCTGAGCTCAGACTGCCTGACTGTGCACTGCTCCAAAACCTTGTCAAGGACCAGGCCTCGCAACGGAGCCTGGACCAACACTCAGCCCTGTCCGAGTGTCACCTCAGGACACTCAGTCCTTGCGCAGTCTGACTCGCAGCTTCCTCTAGGACTCTGGCACACAGCTCATTAGGACTCATCACCACAACTTCCTGCCCACGACACTCTGAGTCTCCCCTGGAGACAGGGACTGCTCGAGGCCAGGTCCCAGAACTCACTGCTGTCCCTAGAGCCTAGGAGGGAGCATGCAGCAGATGCTTAGCAAGCATGTTATGGGTTGAATCTGTTTCACTGGCACAGCTAGGACAGAAGCAAGCGTAGAGAGGTACAGGCCTCCTTCCGGATGCATGAGAGTGCACACACATACACACACATCCAAGTGTCGCTGTACTAAGCAAAGTGATCGCGGTCACTATAAATACCCATAACGTCATGCCCCAGAGTCCCTCCCGGAAATCATGGCCTCTAATGTTATCATGGCTTCAGCACCATCAGAGTCCAGCCATGATTGCTGTGCAAAGGCGCCTCTGGAGTGGCTAGGTGAGTGGACATAGCCAACCTCTGACGACACAGGCAGCAACTGGCCAGAAACCCTCTACAAATGGCAGTCACATCTCCTGTCGCCTGACACACCACAGGACTGATGGGGAAAACAAAGCTGAAGTCACAGAGACAACAGAAGGCCTAGGACATGGTAAACCAAGCACATAGCCTTCACGCAAAGGCCATGGGAAGAGAGCTGGCTGCCCTCGGCGTGAGGCAYGACCTGTGGAAAGCGCAGCACAGGGCAGGCTGATTCTGTCAGGTGACTGTGGGCAACACTGCTTAGACCAAGAGGAAAAGAAGGGACACAGGCTCTGCACCATGCATATAGTGAGCTTCCAGAAGCAAGGTTAATCTAGAACACAACAAGGACCCCCACACACACTAAAAACAAAACAAAACAAAAAAACAAATGGAGGCACAGCGTCTGTCAAGAGTGCAGGTGGTCCCTGAGCAGCCTGCAGGCTCATCCTAGGCCTATGCCACATGCAGCATCCTACCAGGCCACATTGCCATGGGCTGTGTTGTCCAGGTGACAGAGCAGCTCCAGGGTCTGGGCGGTGCTTGCAGAGTCGTCGGGGGACTCCTGGCTTCCGGACTCCAGCTCCTTGGGCATCCTCCACACGGCCGCACGTGCCTGGACTCGGCTGTCGGAGGCTGAGCAACAGAGGAGAAAGTCAGCAGGGTGTCTGCAGACAGCACAGCACACTTACACGGCCGCGGCTGCCCCGTCTGCTGGGCAGGCGGCAGCAGCTCCAGGCACCAACCAGAGACAGCAGCAGTGAGCCCACCTTGTCCTTGATTTAAAGCCTTCATTGTGGTTCAAAAAAAAATTTAATTTCCTCAAAATCAATTTCCTCCCACTGTTTTCCAACGGCTCTTCAAAATCGGAGCCAAACAAGGGATGAGGAAACCTTCAGCAGGCACGCAGCTCGGGGCTGAGGGGCTCTAAATAGGTCTCTCTGCTCACGGCTTTCAGGGGCCTCCTAAACAGGTGCTGGGCATGTGAGATGTCCGGAAACGCTGCCACGCCTGGGCCTGCCCCGTTCACCCGAGGTGCTGAGCGTCTCAGCTTGTTCGCCCAGTGGCTTTCCAGGGGGCGCTGGGAAAGCCAGGTCCCTGGGCCCTGAGGAGTGAAAGGCTGAGCAAGCAGGCTGCGGGGCCACTGGAGGCACCGTGTTAGTGGTGGTGGGGGGACGTCATGGCGGGGCTGCAGGTGTGGGGCTGCTCTCTGCTGGCTGCCGGGGCGCGAGTGGGGTGTCTGTCTTCAGGCATCTCTGAGTGGCCTTGCCCTCTGAGACCAGACGCTCAGCACCTCAGGATGACTTGCAATGGCAGACCAAACCTCCTTAGCTTCAAGGCCAAGTAGAGGCTTTGCAAACAGCTCAGAGTGGCCCCCCACAGTCCCCTGATCTTGGACCCATTCAGTGGTCATCTCTGTGGCCCACACACGTAAAATGCGATTGACACACTGGGCAGCTTATGACATGTCCATCCTGGGTCTGTGGCCATGGAAGGTCAAGGGGAAGCCTCTTGGGATGTGGACACACACACGCACTCCAGGGATCAAGGAGATGGAGGGGCATGGCTTGGATCACTTCACACTGGCCTCTGCAGAAGGGCAGCAGGCCCTAGACAATGACTGTAGACTACACCAAGATTCACAAAGCAGGAGGCCTGCTCATAGATGTGGCACCAGATGTGGACTCAAAGCATTCACAGCCTCTAGAACATGATGTCTGCACACTGTCTCCAGAAGCACCTGCCCGCCCCAGTGAAGAATCGGGTCAGGAGCCGCCTGTGTGCACAGCAGAGGAAACCAGCCCACAGGCTGCTGCGGAGCCAGGGCAGCTCCCCTCCTCCAGTCACACCAGAGTCCAGAGCTCTGGACACCCCGGGAGCACCACTTGACCCAGTGCACCGATGACGGCACACTGCCTGGGCAGCAGAAGGGTGCAAGAGGCAGGCTGTCGAGACTCAGGGACCTGCCACTCCAGCGAGGTTCAAGGGAAGAGCAGGACATATGAGCGAGAAACCAACGGTGCTGCGTCACACCCACCCAGGAGGTGTGGTGCCCAGCTAGCCTCCTCGCACTGCAGGTGATGCCCCTAAGACACTGGGATCCACCCAGCAGGAGAGGCTGAGTGCCCTGTCATGAGTTCACCTGGGGAGGAGGCAGCTAGCCCCACCTTGGGGTCACACTACCTCGGGACCCTGCTACCATGGAAGGTATCGATGGCAAAAGCGCGCAGCGCAATACTGCAGGAAGGCCATGCTATCTCCAGCAGAGAGACCCCATGTGAGAACCAGCTCTGCCATGCTGCTGGGCCCTGACAGGCAGAACCCTGATCCTGGGCCACTCACGAGTCATGCCCAGTCATATCCACCAGGTCATGGAGTCAGACAGTCAGCAGCTATCCACTATAAAGACAGAGCACCCAGGACACAGCCAGGAAGACCGGGAGTGGAGGGGTGGCACAGAAGTACTGAGTAGGTATCTAGATGACACAGGACTCAGCAGCACCCCAAGACCACTTGTGGACCTTGTATTCCTTGCTGAAGGAGAAAGAAGAGGCTGGGCCAACTTATGGATGGGAGGGCGCAGCACAGAGGCACAAGCCAGAGAGGGGCAGCGGCCCTCCAACAAGCCACCTTCTAGAGAAGATGCCTGGGAGCCACGATGTGAGAAGACCCTGCCTCCAGGCGCAGGCCATAAGCACTGCACCGACCATCTTTGTAGCACACAAGGCACGAGGCACACACTCAAGGGTGTGTCCAGTGGCCTGGCTGGCTGGTCAGCACACTAGAAAGAAAAAGACTGAAAGAATGGAGACCCACAGGGCCAGCTGGGGCACGGGGACACCCAGGCCTCATCTACCTGTAGAAATGGAGAGTTCCTTCTCCCCTGAACAGACGGCCCCAAGTGTGAGCACACAACCAGGGAAGCCGCTGTATGACGGGAGCACAAAGGAGCGGGCCCCCACCCCAGGACTCATGCCCACCACAGTTCCCACCCGAGGCTGTGGGGCCAACAGAGCCGTGGACTGCCCAGCACGGGCACCTCCTGTTGCAGCACATACACAGAAGTGGGTACTCATGCATAGCTTTGTGCCCCCCAGCAGATGGTGGTGTGGTACAAGGAGCTTTATTTTTAATTAATGAAAACTATGTATTTATAGTGTATTAACAAGACATGGAGCCAGTAACACACACTGTGCCTGACATACTTATTTTGTTGTTGCTGCTGCTGTTGTTGTGAAAAACACCTAAAATTATCTCTCACCAATTTCCAGGCACACAATACACTGGTATGAACCCCAGTTACCAGGAGGCACCCGAGGAACTTACCTGGAACTCACTCCTTATGGCTGGCTCCCCGCTGACCAACCTCTCCCCTGTGCCCAGGCTGACTCTGTCCCTGGTGACAACCACTATCCCCCTACTCTGTGAGCTGGTCTCAGCTTCCATATCCAAGTGAGATGACAAAGAGCTCCCAGGCCCAACTCACTGCACTCAGCATGAGGTCCTCAGAGTTCATCCCAGTTGTCACAAGTAACAGGCTGAAGATCCAAGGTACACCTCTCTTTCCTTATCCGTCCTGGAGAATGTCCCCACCATACCTATGTACCACATTTTCTTTATCTGTCCACCACCAGTGGAAACTTTGGTGGATTCTGTATCCAGTCATCTTCAAGTCACATGCCCTGAATGAACTGCGTAAATAAAGAAAGGAAGGGCGGGGCTGTAGCTCAGGGTGTAGCGCTTGCCTAACAAGGGTGAGGCACCGGGCTCGATCCTTGGCACCAATAAAAACAAGTAAATAAAATAAAGATTAAACTCTTTTTTAAAAAGCTAAAGAATGAAAGCCAGGAAGCCAGGAAACACTGTAGGGACATGTTCAAGAACAGAATAAAAAAAGGACGATCCTCCTGGCTGGGACAGATCAGATCAAGGATGGTGGACACAGACCTATCTTGACACTTTGCAAAATACTAATCAATCAATATATTTTTCTAAAAATCAATTTATAAAAAGGAAAAAAACTTTAAGGAATATCTAGTATGTTAATTTTTATTTAGGTTTTCTGACTGCCAAGAAATTAGGTCCTATGATGWAACTGCCTGTCCTCAACTAACAGTACAGTGACTAGGAGCCCCCAGAGGGCAGGGCCCAAGGCCTCTGTATAAAACCACGCCTAATACAATTTCCTTTCCAGAGCTTGCTCTGAAAATCTGGCGAGTGCAAAGTGAGTTCAAAGTCCCACACTGAAAACTGTAAACATGAGACATTACCTGAAACCAGAATGCTGGAGTTCTCTGCACACAGGAGGCACCGGCTGAACACCCTGACCCCAGAGCCGCCCATGGCTACAAAACTGGATGAGCAGAGGCATCCTGGCTCTGAGGACTGTGGCAGGCATTATTGGCAATTCCAATCCTCAGAAGCAGTTGAAGCTCAAGATAAACAGCACCAAGTGAGAATCAGGGGGTATGCCCTCGGAGATGTACAAACTGGCTCTGAAGCTCAAGATTTCCATACTGTGTGAACTACAGCAGAGCTTTCAATGCACACCCAGCAGATATCAAAGAAATCAAGGCATTTTAAAAAGAAAAACCCACTTYAGAAGGAAAACACTGTAATAGCCAGGGCGGCATTCGCCTTTCATCTCTGTTTTTAAGACTGCCAAGAAATTAGGTCCTATGATGTAACTGTCTGTCCTGAATTAACAGTACAGTGGCTAGGAGCCCCCAGAGGGCAGGGCCCAAGGCCTCTGTATAAAACGATGCCTAAAGCACAAAGCACAAAGCCACGGCCACAGCATGGGACGCAGGCTCGGAGAGAAACCATGCCCACGGCAAAAATCATGGGCTCTATATGAAACCACACCATGGCACATAGCACAGGCTCCCTACAAAACAAGCCCACAGCATAAAGCTCAGGCTCCATGTAAAAACAAGCCATAGCACAGGGCATGGGCCTGTATAAACCAAGCCCCGGTATTGAGCACAGGCTCTGTACAAAGTCAGGTCTATGGCACAAAGCACAGGCTCTGCATGAAGCCYAGCCACAGGACAAAGTGCAGGCTCTGCTTAAAACAGCACAAAGCACAGCGCCCCTGCACAACACCCCCCAAGCTGACAGAGATCCAGAGCCACAAGACGGCTGAGCTGGGAAGAGCTCAGATATCACGCTGCAGGAACCCAGCCTCTCCATTTTACTAATGAGGAAACTGAGGCCCAGTGAAGTTAACTGACTTTTCCAAGTTCACATGGCTCATTAGCACCAGAGTCGGGAATGAAATGAAGCCTCTCGACTCTGTAACAGTCCACTGCGTTGAAGGAGAAAATACCAAGTTGTATCTTTAAGGCCAATTTGATGCGTCTATCTATTTTAACGTGTAACACAAGAGCTAAAGGCACTTAATGAGATAAAAAGATAATCAGGGCAAAATGAATGGAAGAGACATACTTGAGGCGGCCAACTGTGCCATGGAGTGTACCGCTTGCTGGAAGGGATTACGGAGTGAAGGCTTAGAGGACTGAAAGGAGATTAGAGCCTTTGAGCCTGAATAGCAGCTGCAGTCAGCTTGCTAAAGGGCTAACAATGCCCTGGCTGGGGGACATAATCTGATCCCCAGCTGGAGGAGCAGGTATCCACAGGCTCTGCCACATAATGAGCACATTAGGCATCTGAGGGCTATTTTTAGAGACTGTAGCCATCTCCCTGCATCTGGCACAGGCTGAGCAGGTGAAAGAGGCAGAATCAAGCTCCACTAAGCAATCACCTGATGCAGGTATAACCTGGCGAACACAACAGGGTGTCTGAGGAGCCATGCCTAAAATACTTTTCCATACTGGCCTTTTAAATGCTTCAGAGACAATGCTGTGCACGGGTTACACAGCTCAAGTCTGCAGGATGCAAATACTAACTGCTAAAGGGGACAAAGGTGCCTGAAGGAACTGAGGATGGTGTCAGGGCTGCCGCCTCACAGTACCATCATCTCTGTGTAGGTGGAGGTGAAGGGGCACCACACCTCTGGGAGGCTCTGCAGGCGAGGTGGCAGGAGCATGGGCACCTACTTTCCAGAAGGACAGGCCAAGATGCGGGGCATCACACAGCAGAGGAACACGTGCACGTCAGGGTCCTTCAATCCAGTGTGCACCTTCTGACCTACCCCCAGGAAAACTCGGGACTGGCTGACCCTGGCAACCACAGGGCAGCCACAGCCTCTCACTCAGTTCTCCACCTGACATGGTGTCCGCAGGCAAAGGGACCTGTCCAGATGTGTGAGAACGGCAGCACAGACTCTAAATAGCACACAACCCCGTGGCTCAACCCACGGCCACAGTGGTCAAATGGGACAATGGTGCCGAGGTCCAAGTCCAGCTCACAGAGAGCCCAAGGGTTACATATCCAACCTGCAATTACTCCCCAATTCCTGAATGAATATTGATATGGATGGGTCTGGCATCTATCAAAGTTTGCCAGGAACATTTTTTAAAGAACCAAATGAAATGTCTAGAAATAGAAAATTACAATTGTTGAAATAAAAAATTTCAGCTGGTATTAGAAATGCCCAATGAGAATTAATTGCTTGGAATAAAAATGTGAAGAAAGATGCAGCACAGACTGAAAACCAGAAGGGATGAGGCAGAGAGACGCAATGGCCACCAGACAGTACATGAGGTGGCACAGGACAAAGTTCAGGCTCTGTTTAAAACAGCACAAAGCACACCGCCCCGGCACAACACGCCCCCCCCCCCCAGCTGACAGAGGCCCAGAGCCACAAGAAAAACAGAGGATGCATAATTTCTTAAGGGTTGATACTTGGGAATTTTCCAGAATTAAAGAAAAATTAAGTACACTAGCTCTCTGAATTAGGAAGCAGGACTATTTACAAGCATGATTGAAATTAAATTAAAGCCAAATCCACTTCCCAATACGTCATAGAAAAATGTAGGACCTGGAGATCAAGACAAAGCATGCAAGGCAGTCAGCATTCTGACCAGGCCCGAGGATGACCTCTGCAGAGAATGAAGGGATCGGAACACAGTGAAACGAACTGCCCACCAAGAACCGCACACTAGCTGGACAATCACCCGGAGCAGGCCTTCCAAACAAGCCAACCCTGAGTTGGTGTGCGGAAGCAGCTCCAGGAGTGGCCCCAGAAGAAAGGCCTCAATTTACAGCCAAGCAGCTGAGAAAACAGGTGGCAAAACTCTAGGAAAAACACCTACCTACAGATCACACCCATGCTGCTGATCATGGTGTTTAACTTGGTATTGATAAAAGGTTCAAAGATGAAACCTAAACACAGGCCAACAGAGTATCAAGATGGGAGGGGTGGAGGGAGATCAGCGCTCGGCGGGAGACCACGAATATTGAGAGCAGCACACCTTCAAGAGGAGCCACTGAAGAGCAGAAAAAGACACCTGCCTTCCACAATGCTAGAGGGGAGCAAGGYAAGAACAAGGTTCACAACCACTGGGAAAACCAGGAAAACAGGGGTGGTGGCGCACGCCCGTGATCCCAGCTCCCTGGAGGAGAGACCAGGAAAGACAAAAACAAAACTGGACAAAACACACAAAATGTGAGAAATTATTCCAAAAGACCAGAAACAATAACTGTAATGAACTGATTCATCAACTAGCAACTGTCAGATCACATTTTAAAATATCAGCAAAACATTGTTTCCAAGAGCTATACCCAAAATTTAAGGATGTAGAAAGAGAAAACAATAGAAAAAGACCCAGACACAGTGGCACACTCCTGTAATTCCAGCAACTAGGAGGCTGAGGCAGGAGGATCACAAATTCAAGGCCAGCCTTGGCAACTTAGCAAGACCCTGTCTCAAAAGAAAATAAAAAGGGCTCAGGATGTGGCTCAGTGGTAAAGTGCCCTGGGCTCAATCCCCAGTTCCAAGGGGGAAAAAAAAATAGAAAATTATACACTGAACAACAAGATTAAGCTAACTTCACCATGTTAATATTAGCCAAAATAGACTGTAAGGCAAAAGGAGCCAAGGTCGCTACTTAATACAAGTTTCTGAAAGATACAGAAATCCTTAACTTACATGTATTTAATAAAACTGTACCAAAATATATAAAGAAAAATTTAATAGAAAAGGGAAAATAGAGAAGTCTACTTATAGTAGGAGACTTCAGTATTCTCAATAACTGAGGGCCAGTAGAGAAATATTTTAAATGCTAAGCTTTTAGGGTTGAATGCAATTAATTTTTCTCAATCATAAATGGAACATATAAAAATTAACCATCTATTAGAGCAGAAAAAGACTCTCAATATAAGAATACATATAAAACAACCATGTTTTAATTTTCACTAATGTTCCAAACAGGGAGAAAAGACTGAACATCAACCTCATAATTTCTGAAAAGCCACAAAAGATTAAGAAAGGCTGAATCCTTACAGGAACACCTTCTGTGAAGGTCACAGGAAACTCACGGCTTGGTGTAAAAAGCCAGAATTGAACCCGTGTTGAAACCAGGTAATGCAAATGCTGTGTTGACTTAACTCGGCCTGCTGCCAAAGACGATGGACATGAGCAAGGTCATTCCAGCTCAGTGGACAACAACAC